GTGACAAATGTCCATTTCTATTTATTTATTTTTTTATGATAGACATCTAATATGAAATCAAAATCATAAAGTCATAAGGACATTTGTTCTCTTCTGTTCATAATAATGTTGATGATAGACAGATGACTAAGGATTTGAAAAGCTAGAGAGAGAGGGTATATTAAAAAAGAAGCTTCTAATAGAGTTGGCATCATTCCTATATATCTGCTTGTTATAATACGTATGTTTAAAACAATCGTACTTTAAAAAAAATGTGATTCATATTAAAAATTGATATCATGATTAGAGTTGTGTGATACTGAATGAAAAAGAATGTGAAAATCAAGCATTATAAGGTGTTATTATTAGAGAAAAGAATAAAACAATTCTTTTATTATCTACTCATAATAGTCGGCCCACTCCTCCTGTACAATAGCTCTCTCTCTCTTGTACACTACCCGTCAAACTCTCAACAAATCCCCTGTACTTGTGTATAAAGCTCAACTGAATATACAGAAGAAGCAGATCAAGTTTTGATTGCTCTCAAATTCTATCTACAACAAATCCTCTTCCTAACATGGTATCAGAGCTAGTAACGATCAGCTAGTTTTATCCTCTTACTCACCGGCAATGATGCAACCACTCTCTCTGTTTTTCAGCAAGCTCTGGCAGACAAGTTTTCTCTTAAGGAACTTGGTGATGTTAATTACTTTCTGGGTATTGAAGTCATTCCTACGACTACCGGTTATATCCTATCTCAACACAAGTATATGATAGATATCCTTACTCGATTTCATATGTTGGATGTTGCCCCCGTCTCTACACCCCTTGCTTCCACTCTCTCTCTCTCTCTCTCTCTCTCTCTCTCTCTCTGCGTGATGGCACCTCTCCCACTGATGCTACACGATTTCGCCAAATCCTTGGGGCCCTTCAGTATTTGGTATACACGCGTCCGGACATTGCCTTTGTCGTCAACAAGCTCTCTCAGTATATGCATGCTCCATCCTCCCATCATTGGCAGTGCCTAAAACGATTGCTCCAATATGTTTGTGGTACGATTTCCTATGGCCTGGCTATTCGGCGAACTTCTCATCCTCTGCGTCTCATGGCCTTTGCTGACTCAGATTGGGCTGGCAATCTCGACGACCACACATCCACATCCGCTTACCTGGTCTACTTGGGCTCCACCCTCATCTCCTGGCGTTCCCAAAAACAACGCACCGTTGCTCGCTCAAGTACTGAGGCTGAATATCGGGTCATCGCCCATGCTGCTGCCGAGTTGGAGTTGGTCCAAAATCTCTTCACAGAGCTACATCAACCTCTCACTACGTCACCCACCCTCTTCTCCGACAATCTTGGCGCCACCTGCTCTAGTGCCAACCTACTCTTCCACTCTCGCATGAAGCATTTAGCTCTTGACTTTCACTTTGTTCGACAGCTTGTGCAGGATGGTCGCCTCAAAGTCAAGTACATTCCTACTGCGCACCAGCTCTCCGACATGCTCACCAAACCGTTACCTGCCTCGCGCTTTTTCCTCCTCAGGTCAAAGATTGGAGTCGTAGACACCTCCTCCATCTTGCGGGGGAGTATTAGAGAAAAAGAATAAAACAATTCTTTTATTATTTACTCATATTAGTCGGCCCACTCCTCCTATACATTAGCTCACTCTCTCTTGTACACTACCTAGGGCTGTCCATTTGGTTTTGGTTTTTTGGTTTTAACCGAAACCAAACCAATTGGAAAGCTAATGGTTTCAGTTTTTTGGTTTTAAACCAATAAGCAACTTAATGGTTTTGGTTTGGTTAAAACCGAAAAACCAATAGAAACCAATAAGAATAAAATTATTTATCAACAAATATATTTTTTTTTTTGTTACTTTTGACATACATGCCAACCAATAATTTGTAAAGGCCATATACCATTATTATGACGTTTATTCAATAAAAAGGAGGGAAATAGGAATAAATATGAGTGTATGAGTAGTTGAGTACATGTTGGTTTTTTTGGTTTTTGGGATTTGGTTTTTGGTTTTTGGTTTTTCATACTTAATGGTTTGGTTAACCAAACCAAACCAAATTGACAGCCTTAACACTACCCGTCAAACTCTCAACAAATCCCATGTACTCGTGTATAAAGCTCAACTGAATATACAGAAGCAGATCAAGTTTTGAATTAACTGAACGAGTTTTTTATTTTCAGAATCTACACAATAAATAAAAGCCAAATGAGAAAACTTCAAGCTCCATTTCAAATTTCCTGCATCCAGAGTGAAAGTAGGGAGGACATTTTGGTCTTCACAATTACTTTTTTTTATTCATTAAAAAGACACTTACTAGGATTCGAACCATGATCACTTTAAAGAAAAACAAATATCATAACCAATCACACTAAGTACATTTGTTGTATCTTTTTACATTAAAAACATATAATTGCAGAGAGGAAAAAACCCTTCCCCCATTTCAAATTCCCTGCTCCAGGTGCGTTTGTAGGAAGGGTAGAATAGGGAGTGTCAATTTTTTTTCTTTTTCCTCTGTGGAACGGGCCAACTTACCGTACACATGCGGATTTAAACGGGTTCAGGAGTGTCAATTTTTTTCTTTAAGTCCTTTTATTTCTCCGTGGTGGTAAAATATATATGAAAAGGAAAAAATAATACTCCTTTTTATTGCTTAAAAGAAAAAAATTAACAATAAACTAATGGATGGATTCTAATGGGCTAACTACTAATCATAAAATAAAAGAGTTGAATAGGCCTGACCTACTCGGGATTTGCCCATCAAGTAAAACAAATGAACATCATGGATTTGCCATTCTAAAACAAACTATTTTCTCTAGCATAATATATATTATGCTATTATTTTATATCTTAGTAGCTAAAATATAATATATTTTAAATTTATTCAATGGTTCAACCTCGACCAACCCAATTAGTCCAATTTTTATCATTTCAAATATATATTATGTAATTATTTGATATCATAATGATTAAATTATAGTGTATATTATAGGGAATCGTTTGGTATTTGTTAGTAAAAAACTAAACAAAAAAGATCTATTTGGTTATTTTTAACATTAAAACGATCCTAAACATTTTCAGTTTCCTTTCGAAAGCCAAATGAGAAAACTTCAAGCTCCATTTCAAATTTCCTGCATCCAGAGTGAAAGTAGGGAGGACATTTTGGTCTTCACAATTACTTTTTTTTATTCATTAAAAAGACACTTACTAGGATTCGAACCATGATCACTTTAAAGAAAAACAAATATCATAACCAATCACACTAAGTACATTTGTTGTATCTTTTTACATTAAAACATATAATTGCAGAGAGGAAAAAACCCTTCCCCCATTTCAAATTCCCTGCTCCATGTGCGTTTGTAGGAAGGGTAGAATAGGGAGTGTCAATTTTTTTTCTTTTTCCTCTATGGAACGGGCCAACTTACCGTACACATGCGGATTTAAACGGGTTCAGGAGTGTCAATTTTTTTCTTTAAGTCCTTTTATTTATCCGTGGTGGTAAAATATATATGAAAAGGAAAAAACAATACTCCTTTTTATTGCTTAAAAGAAAAAAATTAACAATAAACTAATGGATGGATTCTAATGGGCTAACTACTAATCATAAAATAAAAGAGTTGAATAGGCCTGACCTACTCGGGATTTGCCCATCAAGTAAAACAAATGAACATCATGGGATTGCCATTCTAAAACAAACTATTTTCTCTAGCATAATATATATTATGCTATTATTTTATATCTTAGCAGCTAAAATATAATATATTTTAAATTTATTCAATGTTTCAACCTCGACCAACCCAATTAGTCCAATTTTTATCATTTCAAATATATATTATGTAATTATTTGATATCATAATGATTAAATTATAGTGTATATTATAGGGAATCGTTTGGTATTTATTAGTAAAAAACTAAACAAAAAAGATCTATTTGGTTATTTTTAACATTAAAACGATCCTAAACATTTTCAGTTTCCTTTCGAAATTCTATAGTTTTATTCCCGAATTAGTGATGTGCAAATGGTGAATTGCTGTCATCTCTTTTCTTTCATTATTTTTTATTTTCAAATAGAAAGTTTAAAAGTAAAGAATAATTAGAGTTTGGCATGGGTCGGTCAAACATGCTGAATTTCAAGTTTTGGCCCGTTTTGATCAAGTCTAATTTATAATCACATGGTTCCCTGATACCCGATAAAATCTCAATCCAAACCAGTTTGGCAGGTGAGTCCGTGTTTACCACCATTTTCTAGGGATACAGGAACGGTGGTTCCTATCCCAAATCGTGTTGTTCATTCTTGATTTCTTTAGATTTTATCATGGCTTGGCAAAAAACAGAAAGCACAATGATGACAAGATGAAAGTTTTACAAAGCAAATTAATCGGCCAACGGGCCGAGTAAAAGCTAGCAACAATTGTGAGATGCTCATTTCCCGAAAACCGGCGGGATAGGCGATTTTTTATTCAATTTTTTTGGAATTCGGTTTCTATAAAACTTACTCCACCTCATCATATTACCAGAAACAATATTGTTTCACAAGGTAACAGGTACTTGATTTTGGTTCATAAGGCTGATTTTTGATTCGTTGCATCATTCATGTCTCTTTCCTACTAAAATTCACTATTTTTATCACGTGTTTCCAAAAAAAAACTATACAACAATAAACTATACACCACATTACATCATCAAATTTCATACCTCACATTCCTCCGGCCAAATGGCCGGGGCCCACGCTAGTTCAGTTTGAGAACTAAAAAAATCTCAATTTTCTCCGGGAATTGTGTTTCACACGAAAAGACAACTTTGTTTTCTCAGGACTTGTTTTCTGTAGCTTGTTTATAGTTTCTACAACCACAAAAAACGAAATAATGACAAGTGAACGAGATTTTAAGTTCAAATTCAACTCCTCCATTCCTTGTAAGACAAATTCTCCCCTTCAAATTTTTTAAAAAAGTAGTATACAGAGAATGGTCTAGTAAATATATGAATCTGATGACATAAATGTGATAACAATTGGAAATTCAGTTCTTAAGTATCCATGATATATATATAATAACAATTAAAGAGTACAACAACACTACTCACAAGAATAACATAGCGATAATGAAACTAGCTAGTTCCTTCCAAGCAGTTTGATAAAAAAACGCATGGATAACATAAATAATAGAAATAAGAAGACCTCACACGACTTATTAATGCAAACTCTAAACATAGTGACATATGGATAAACAAATTCCACTAGACCACAGAAACAACCAATCATATGTTAAGAAGGCAACGTGAACATATATATTATCAATGGTCTCTCTTGGAGACTCTCGTCTTCAATCCATCTTTCATGAATAATACCATGCCAACCGCCGGCTTAATGGAGGGATCAACATTTATGAGTTCAAACTTGTAGTTCCAAAAGAGAGCACTGGCCAGGGACTTGATTTATGTGAATGACATATTCTTCCCCAAACAGGTCCTTGCCCCAGTCAAGAAGGTCATGAACTTGTACGATGGGACATGTAGTATCGTCCCTTTATCATAAATCCACCTCTCTGGTTTGAACTCCAAGCAATCCTCTCCCCATATCTCCTCCATCCTGGCCATGGCGTATATGGAGAATATTATCCTCTCTTCTTTACGTACCGTGTGCCCGCTTGGAAGGACATCTGCCTCTAGGGCGGACTTTTGCTCGAATAGTACCGGCGGATACAACCTCATTGTCTCACATACGGTTGCTTGGAGATACACAAGTTTGTTCAACTCGTCATTTCTCAAAAATCCTCCACTTTCTTGCCCTGGTTCACCACAAATTAATTCTATGATTTAGTATCTAAAAGACTAAAAAATATGTGTATATGTCTATGTTTGAATATTTTATCTTACCATCATCAATTGCGCTTGAGAGTCGCACTGCCATCACTTGTTTCAGCTCTTCAAGAATCCTTTTCTGAACAACGGGGTGGTTCGCCACACACCATATCAGCCAAGTCAGGCCGGCAGCGACGGTGTCTCTCCCTGCTGCAATTAAGGTAAATGCGGTGTCCCTCAAAAACTTATCCAATGTCTTATCAATGATTTTTTGGTCACCACCGTCATCCTCATCTTTCATGACCAAGATTTGGGTTAGCAAATCCAGCTTGTTTCTTTTATGCTCATCATTTTCGACGGAATTTTTGGTCGCCAATTCTTGCCTCTTCCTGATGATGCTACCATACAGTAACTGATCTAGGGTGGTCCAAGCTTGAATGAACTTCCACTCCCTTCCAATCTTGAGTCGGCGTTGAAGCCTCCACACGCACATCGGAACTCCGAATCGATATATCACCACCTCCCACAACTCATCAAATGCGTTGCCACATGCACAATCAAGGAGCGATGCGCCTTTGGACCCCACGGGCAGGAGGTATTGGGGGTCGAATCCAAACACCAATAGACACATGTTGTCGAACATGAACCTCTTGAACACGTCCTGTATGTCCAATGCCGCCTCGTCCGCTGCTCTGTCGAGGACTGGCAAAAGGGTGCTTAGCATCTTCCTTTCCAGTGTCTCCATGGCGTGACCCTTAAACTCTGGGTTGTGCAACAAGGAATGTAGGAGCTTCCTCTGGAACTTCCATGACTCGCCGTCGACATTAAAGATCCCGTCGCCCATAAACTCCATTATGGCATTGAAGTCCCTACCCTTGTCGTAGTTGGCCGCGTTCTTGTTGAAGATGTGGTTGATGTTGGCCGGATCGCTGGTGACCGTGAAGTCTGCGTTGATGAAACTGGGTCCCTTGAAAAGGAACGTTCCCCTGGCTCGCCTCAAGGCTCGGGTGCAGAAGTCGTGGAGTGTGGAGTTGTATATGCTCAAGAGGAGGCCAGGGAGCATCCCCAGGAATGGCCATTGGTAGATCGGTGAGTGCTTGTTTCTGAGGAGCCAGTGCCATAGGAAGATGATGACTAGTGAAAGGAAGGTTAGTAGTAGTTGTGTGTCCATGTCTCTGCAGCTAGTTTAGCGTACGTACGTAGGGTTTCAACAGCGTAGCGTAGCGTTGTGAATAAATAGTACTATATATTGCCAAGGGAATAATTTGTGCAACCGCGCGCTAGGGCAACCGACGAAATTTTGGATGGAGATTGTGATGATCACATCAATTTGCATGTGATAATTAAGGTCCACCTTCCAAAGTCAAGAATTGTCGCGCCCATGCAAGGGGTCTACTTAAGGGAGTAACGGTTGAAGCAATAATGGGAGATCCAGACATCCCTTGTTTCCAATTATTCAAATGAATAGCTGATATTATCAAAATGTAAATTGTTAGACAACAGTAACCTAACTTGAGCTTTATATATATATTAATTAATAATAATCTCGTAGGTGGCTTATATGAAATAGAGAACATTATGCTCATGCAACACTTACAGTGAAACGTTGGAATACGACTATATGTGTATATGACCCTAACTTTTGCCGGTAGACTATTGTAGAGTTGTTTCAAATTATCTAATGGATACTTTTATTGGTTAGCTGCCAACATATTGTAATAGAATAGTACTGCTACCATTCTTTAGAACCTCTATCAATCAATGGGCAGTTCAACAGCCCGTCGCACAGCACGGGCTCCCATTCTAGTAAATAATAATTGGCGCAAACTTGTTTTTCTAGTAAATAATGTGTGGCTAGCTGAAACCTTCCAATTAATTAAGTAAGGTGTGGGTCGTACTGTGTGTTCATTGGTCATAATGACTCTCCCTTTCCTCCTGGTTCACTTTCCACATCGCCATCTTACTGTCTGTTTCTATCTCCGCCAGCTGCAATTGAAATATCACGATCGCCTCTTGCCCAAATTTTGGATCAAAACCTTCTGTCAACTCCGACTTCCATTGGGTGGGTGCGTGTGTGCCAATGGCTAAAATCAACTAGATTGGTACCGCACTTTGTGGTGGGATCGTAAACTTGCATTCTTGTGATCATTGCTCGTTGAGAATGGATACTTTTATGGTAGTGTATTTGTGATGGTATATATGTAAGTGTTTAGTGATAATCCTTTATTTGGCATGTATACATAATTGAAATTTAATGTATAATTGGTGAAACTTCTAGCTCGATTGAGAAGAAATATTTAGAAAGAATCGGATGAAATAAAAAGTTGAACTCAGTTTATAAAAACAGCCTACTATTAAATAGAAAAAGTATATTTTTTGAATTAAACTGGATGTTGAACTAAAAAAGTGAGTGCTTCATGGTTTAATTTACTTGTTATAGACCCGTTGGTGAATTATTAAAATATCCATTTATATTTATAAATAAAAATACATATAAATATAATACTCTAATTAGGGTTGGACAAAGAAGGCAAAGACAATAATAAAGAAAGGGAGATAAAAGACAACTGAGAAAGTAACGAAAAATCATTATGGTATTAGTTAGTTTTTCATGTTTTCGCTTCCCATGATATTCAACCCGATTCTTGTATGAGTAAATAAACACAAACTATTTGGGTAGGAAGATGGATATGTATTATACAACCCAACCTGTTGTCATCCTTATATGTTATTGAGAAAAAAATTAAACAGACCATCTCTGAATGTAATCAAAGAGGATAACAGTAGTACAATTTTCTTTTTATTTTTTATTTTTATGAATCAGTAGTGCAAATTGGGTACTTTTCATGAATTAGTGGTGCAAATTGGGCAATCTTAGTGAACAATACCGTGTGTTTAGGTTTATATAGTATAACTAGATCACTTGTCGCACTTTGTTGCGACTATTTGACTCATTCGTTTTAGTATTCGGTTTTGCATGTCCGTTAATTTGGTTTTATAGAGTCACGATATGGAAATTGTGTTTTAAGTGATAATTTAGCTAGGAAAATGGGTGAAACTCGCTTTTCGAGAATGAAATCTAATAAATGAGAAACTTTCATATGTCACAATTTGATCAATTACGAAATTCATGTAACTTTATTTTCATGTTTTAATGATGGAGAGTTGATGTTTATATCGTTGAAACATTTGAACTCCATACCAAACACCTCATAAAGTATGTTTGGTGGAGTTGTGGAACCAATTGATCGTATTGATGAGATTTCGTAAAAATATTGGTTAGTGGTTAATTGATTTATGTGAAAAAGGGATACACATGTGAATATTATCTGATATGCTGGAAAATAAAATTTGTGGTTGAATATTATATCAATGTTAATTGCCAAAATTTCTACCAAGAAACATCACCCAATAATTAAGAGAATATAAATAAATAGATGCTTATCTATATTTGGATCACACCTATCTCGATCTAAATCCAATAGTTATTTTGCCGTCTTCTATCTCAACCTACTTATTTCTCAAACCTTTCGAATACCTCTAATTTAGCTAGAGATATATTGTTTTCAATTAATAATAATTTTTGTATTTTATTGACATTTGAAAAATCATTTTCAGTTTATAGCAAATCACATGATGTTGTGTTGTATATCAAAATATAAAAAGAATGATGTGAAAGTGTTAAAACTTAAAACAATAACAACAAAGTCTTGAAGCTATAATTAAATTGGTATTAGTGATGCCAATTTGAACCGGTTCTGGATAAGGAGAACAGGGTCCCTAGTGTTGCATACAAGGGTAAGAACTAAGAAGATTTGGATAAATCCTCCTGAGATTGAGAATAAAGGGGGGAAAGGTGGTGGAAGGGGTCGTAAATGAAGATTTTATCATGGAATACTAGAGGGTTTGTAGATGATAGTAAGTATAATACATTACTAAATAAAATATAAGGTACATACAATATAATAGCCAAACCTTTCATTTTAAACAAAATAATAGCCAAACTTTTTCGAAAACAATTTAATAACCAAACCGTCAACTTTTAGTTGACCCTGACATGGCAAAAATTTAAATGAGTTGGATGGATTTTGCTGATGTGGCAAGAAGTCAAACATTTTACTCTGCCATGTAGCTATATATGGACTTTCATTAAATAATATTTTCAATAATAAATACAAAAAAAAAAATATTTGCTATTTGGCCCTTGTCGCCAAACATCAACCCTGTCGAACCTACATCTTCCGCAGATCTGGATCTGCCACACCAACGTGCAACTCATCCTTCTCTGCCACGCACACCAGTACCTCTAAACCTTCATCTTCCTCATATCCGGATCAGCATTCGGGTGGAAATTTGGGTCCTCTTTTCTCTAGGGGGAGTGCGGCATCAGACAAGGAGTTGGTGAAACTCAGAAAGCAGGTCGTCGAACTCAGTCCCATTCAGTGGATTCAGGGATTTCCACTTCAAAATCATTGATCTGTCCAGGGTATGTGGTGCTTGATCTGTCCAGGGATAAGATGGTAGTTGTTTTTTTTATTTTTGTTAATTAAAATTATATATATCTACATGGCAGAGTCAAATCTTTTACTTCTTGCCACATCAGCAAAATCCATCCAACTCACTTAAAATTTTGCCACGTTAAAGTCAACTAACCGTTGACCGGACGGAAAGTTGACGATTTGGCTATTAAATTATTTTTGTAAAGGTTTGGTTATTATTTTGTTTAAAATGAAAAGTTTGGCTATTATATTGTATTTACCCTAAAATGTATAAGTATATTATTGATATAGCAGCAGTGTTACAAGCTCGGGTAAAGAAGCTGATGAAAAGAAGATGCTAAAGAAAAGATTTGGGAATTGGCAGCAGAAAATTTTCTATAATGAGAATGGTTTGGGAAAGTTGTGGTTGGTATGGCAGATGGATATCAAGCTGCAAATTTTGGGATTCTCTGAGTAGTTTGTTCATATCATGGTGGGGGACGTAGTGCCCTTCTTTGTTACTTTCATATATGCCTCAAATTTTGAAGGTCAAAGAAGAGAGATGTACAGGTAGATTTGTAGGGCTTAAAGTGGAGAGTAGACCATGGATTTTATTGGGGGTTTGTATTGTTTGTCTTTTTTTTTACATCTTGTATTGTTTGTCGGTGTAGTTTGTATTGTTTGTATAGTTCGTGTGTTTTGTATTGTTTGTCAATTTGTTTGTATGTTTTGTCGTTTTAGTTTGTAATGTTTGTAAGTTTGTACTGTTGTAGTTTTTGTAAGTCCGGTTTGTATACTTTGTAAATTTTCATAATACACAAAATACTGATGTCACAAATTAAAAAGCTCTTCTCATTATTTAACCATTAGATTAGTGTATCCATATCTAAAGGGTAGGAGGGGCTTAGTCAAGTGACTAAGCAGCCCACCTTAGTCACCTGATCCTTCCTCCACCACCACCCCACACTCCATCACACTCTCAAACCATGTGGTCACCGCTGATTCCCCTGAAAGAATTATACTTTAAACTTATGTAATTCCCTTGAATCTCATCTTGCTTAATTATCAAAGATTGATAGAATTACCTGAATTCCTGATGTAGATCGTCTGTATCTTGATGCGCAATATTAGACAATCTATGACAAACAATACTTCTGAGAGAACGACCTGGGAGGAACTGTGATCTTCCTCAACCAAGCCTCCTTAGTTCCATTACGGGATTCTCTTATCTTCCTGATGGAGAGAAGAAGAGAGTTCTTGGGGACCAGAACCTCAACTCGTTTATATACAAGTTCCATCATAGGCTCCCATAAAACCTAAGTGGACAAGTATTGGGTTTTCACCCATTGGACTCATATTGGAATTGAGTAATCATGGGCTCCATGTATTGACCACTTGAAAGAATAATACTTTAAAATTATGTAATTCCCTGGAATCTCATCTTGCTTGATTATCAAAGGTTTATAGAATTACCTGAATTCCTTATGTATATTGTATGGATCTTGATGCAAAATATTGGACGGTCTATGTCGGACGATACTTCTGAGAGCATGACCCGAGAGGAATTGTGATCTTCCTCAACCAAGTCTCCTTAGTTAGGGGTGGGCAAACGGTTCAGTAAACCTGAACCGAAACTGAATTAAACCGAACCAAAACCGAATTAATGCTATTCGGTTCGGAATTCGGAAGGAAAATAGGGATAGTTCGGAAATCAGGGTTCTTTCAACCGAACCGAATTTCCGACCGAAAAACCGAAATACTATAATTGCAAGCACCAAATGGTGGATTTTTATGTTTTTAGTTGTTTTTAGACTTAAATATTTGAAATGTTTTATGACTTATGTGTTGAAAAGTTTGGTTTTATCATTGATGATGCATATAATTGATATTTATTGTTTATATTAGGGGTGAAAAATAATTTAAAAGTGAGAAAATACAAGTAGCTTCACAAATTCGGTTTTGTGTGAAAAACCGAACCGAATTATAATTTGGTTTAAACCGACCGAACCGAAATATAATTCGGTTTGAGGTTTGGGAGAATTCGGAGACCCGGTATTCATAATTTCGGTTCGGTTGAAACCGAACCGACCGAATGGCCACCCCTATCCTTAGTTCCATTATGGGATTCTCTGATCTTCCTGATGGGGAGAAGGAGAGAGTTCTTTTGGTCTTAGTGTGTTGAGACCACAACCTCAACTCCTTTATAAACAAGTTCCACCATAGGCTCCCATTAAACCCAAGTGGACAAGTATTAGGTCCACCCATTAGACCCATATTGGGTTTGAGTAATCGTGGGCTCTATGTATTGACCACTTATAGTTATCCCATCAAAATCAAATAGCTAATATATGTGTTGTGAGTTTGCTAGCTCACTTAAGTTAGGAAATGAAATTCCTAACAATCTCTCACTTGGCTGTCTAATTTCACAAACACTTATATTACGAAATCCTTTAGGCGCGCAACCATATGCTATTCGTACACCGACTACTACTTGACAATCTGGTCCACCTCATGTATCAATTATGAAACCAACGCGGCTTTAATCACGATATGATAATGATTAAAGCACAATGATCACCACACCAATTCACTCAATTACAAAGATCAAATATGGATGAGTGGTATGAAAATTACATGCAATGTGATCTTGAACATGCCTATTTTCAAGTGGTCCAACTTTAATCCATAGTGAGATCAACTGAAATTCCTTCATACAATGTGACTATTGTATAACTGAAGGCACTTTAGATTCCAAAATAGACTCTTAAAAAAACCATCACTTTATTCTGCAGAGATTTATTTAGTCATAACTTTTAACATACTTAAGCAGGCTGATTGTGTTCTTAGTTGTCTGGAGAACTTTTGCTCAGCCTCTAGGATCTCATAAGCAAAGAGAAATCTCGTGTTTTTTTCTCTAAAAACACTAGGAATGATATAAAAAAAGAATTTACAACAAGCTTGGTATCCAGTCCACTAATGATCTAGGGAAATATATAGGGGTACCGGTGTTACATGGTTGAATCACGAGAAATATCTATAGATATATCTTAGATAAATTGACAGTAAGCTGACAACGTGGAAAGCGAAAACACTCTCTCTTGCAGGACGAGTAACCCTTGCTCTCTCTGTTTAAATGCTATCCCGGTCTATGTGATGCAAACTGCCATCCTTAGCCTCTGTCTATGATGCGATTGACAGGAAAATTTGTTGGTTTGTCTGGGGGTCCCAGGAGGGTAAAAGGAAAGTTCACTTAGTCTCTTAACACCATTTGTATACCTAAGAATCAGGGTCGATTGGGTCTTAGGTCTGCAAGGAGTCTGAACATGGCATACATGATTAAAATCGCGTGGCAAATGCTTGATGATGAAAATGCTCCTTGGGTGCAGGTGTTACAAGGCAAGTACTTTAAACACAAAGATGGGGCCATCACAGCTATGAAAAAGAGCAATCATTCCAGCTAATGGAAGGCGGTCCTCAAGGCGATGCCATTGATGAAGCAAGCCACAGCATGGAGCATTAGGGATGGCTAGTCAACAGGTTTCTGGACACACCCCTGGGTGGAACATGACGTGATCCTCGAAGACTACCTTCAGCGGGACATCGATGAGGAAGCCAGACTTTATGTTGTGGCTGAGTGGACTACAACAACAAGAGATTGGGACTGGAGCAATCACAACCATCTTCTGCCCTCTGACATCCTAAAGATGATCGCAGGAGCTGAGCCCCCTGTCCCAGGATCAGGTCAAGACACATCCATATGGGGGATTGAACGTGATGGAAGATTTCCGCTTAAATCAGCATACCAGATTGTCGCTGATAGTCTTGAGGAAGTGGATGATGAGATATGGAAAGGAATCTGGAAGTGGAAAGGCCCGAGCAGGATTAAGCATTTCCTGTGGTTAGTGATTCACAATCGTCTCATGATGAACAAGGAAATACTCAAAAGGAAACTCACCACGAATAACAGCTTCCCCCACTGCAAAGACCACGAAGAAACCATTGAGCATATCATTCATAGCTGCAGAAAAGTCCAGGGGACTTGGAGCCATTTTCTGCCCCTACCTTACGAATTCAGACTCTTCGCGTGAATTCGGAGAATGGATGCATAACAACTTGAGGAATCCCGCAACAGGAATAGAGTTTGGCATTATTTGTTGGAATGTATGGGACAGAGGAACGAGGAAGCATTGGAAGGGAAAATATTCTCTGAAGCTAGATTGGTGCAGAGAATTGGAGCCTGCTTCACCATCAATACCAATGCAGCCAAAAGTGATAGCTCTATTGTCACTAAGAAGGAACCTGCTCGGGAGAGCAGATTCATCTCATGGAAGCCCCCAATTGAGGGATGGATTCAAGTTCAATGCGATGGCAGCTATTTGGAGTCCACAGGAAGCGCCGCTGCTGGAGGGTTATTGAGAAACCACTTAGGGGGATGCATCCAGGGGCGAAGCAAGGATTTCGAGACCGGGGGGCCGAAAATAATTAAACAAAAAGTATGTAGCCAAGTGTTTAGTAGTCATGTGTATAGGGAGTGTAATTTTGCCGCCGATTTCTTCGTGAGCAAGGGTCATGATGTCTATTTTCGCACACATCACTTTGATGAGTGCGACCCGGAACTCTTGTAATGGTTGGCATATGATGCTCGGGGAACCTCCCAAGAGCGTGTTGTGTTAATATAAGTTTGGCTAAATTGCAAGTTTGGTCACTTAAATTATTAGTAAAGTTCACGTTAGCCACTAGAATTACTTTATTCCATTCGTAGTCACCTAAATTAGGTTAACAGTCCAAGTTTGGTCACTACCGTTAGTCTCCGTTAACTTTTACTGATGTGGCAGTCAACTCGAATAGTTGATCGTTAAATGAGTGACGTGGCAATTAAAAAATAATAAAATAATGATTTTTTATTTTTCAGCTAATTATTATAATTTAAAAAAGAAAATTCTAATTCTTTTAATTATTTTTTTCCACCGCCAGCAGCTGGATGCCGAATTGGTCTCCGTCCATCGCTCCTCCGTCGCCAGCAGAGATTCATGGTCATGGATCCTTCTTCTCGCCTGAAGTATCTCCTTCCACCTCTCCTCCTTCTCTTGTTCATATCTGGTTGCTCAAACTCTGCAGCTGGACCTGTTCCCGGAAACGAGTCGGACAGGCTCGCCCCGCTCGACTTCAAGAGTCTCATCACCCAGGACCTGCTCCAAATCCTCAGCTCATGGAACGGGTCGGTCCATTTCTGCAACTAGGCCGGGATTTTTTGCAACCCGTCCAACTCGAGAGTCCAGATTTTTAGTCTCCATTCTCAGAGATTGAGCGGCTCCTTGCCTCCTTCCTTGGGCAACCTCTCCTACCTCACCGCCATTAACCTCCGAAACAACAGCTTCCGCGACCAAGTCCCTCCTCAAATCGCCCGTCTCTCTCGCTTGCAGCAAATCAACTTCACTTTCAATTCCTTGTCCGGGGAATTCCCTTCCAATCTCAACACTCCCGACCTCACTGTTCTTGACCTCGCGGGGAACAACTTCTCCGGCCAGATTCTAGACTCCCTGGCGTCCAAGTTGAAGTTGGTTTGGCTGGACCTCGGCTTCAACAGCCTGACCGGAACTGTCCCCAGATGGCGGTGAACGGAGACCAATTCGACATCCAGCTGCTGGCGCTGGAAAATAATAATTAAAAGAATTAGGATTTTTTTAATTTATAATAATTAGCTGAAAAGTAAAAAATAATTATTTATTATATTTTAATTACCACGTCACTCATTTAACGGTCAATTATTAGAATTGACCGCCACATCAGCAAAAGTTAACATAGAGTAACGGCCAGTGACCAAACTTGGACTGTTACCCTAATTTAAGTGATTACGAATGGAATAAAGTAATTCTAGTAGCTAACGTGAACTTTACTAGTAATTCAAGTGAACAAATTCCAATTCAGTTATATAAGTTTGGATGCTTGGTTGGCATAATGAACGGTGACCCGCCTCTTGACTCTCCGAACTATGGAAAAGAAAAGTCTTCAGTCCCGTTGACTTTACGATTACCACTTTTGCAGCTTTAATGCTTTGGAGACGGATCATTGATGTAAGGAATTTGGGTTAGTCGATTAATACACTAAACTAAACCAAAAAAGAAAATGATCACCATTACCAAACTCGGAGATCCCATCTTCTTCTACTTCTGTCTCAGCCTCATCCTCACACTGTATTTATGTCCTCTCTTCTCAAACGGTGAAACGGACACACTTCTACAAGGGCAGGAGCTGAAAGATGGTTACCACTTGGATTCAGCGTTCGGAGCTTTCAGGCTCGGATTCTTCACCGCTGCAGATAACAACCGCTACCTGGGCATATGGTACAACATGCCCGACAATCAACAGTACTACTACCACTCCTTCAATGACTACTATGAACGCCGAAACCCCGAATTGCGGCATTCTCCCGTCTGGGTCAGCAACCCTGATTCCCCAATTCTCAACAAAACAGGGGTTCTTGTCCTTGCAAGCGATGGAAACTTGAAGATCGTAGATGGCAAAGGCGACCTAATCGTTGCCGTGACTAGCATCACCCGCACTGCCGTCGAGAAAGGAGTTAAGACGAGCGCTGTTTTGCTCGATTCCGGCAATTTTGTGCTACGGGAGCTGAACCCAGAAGATGGTGGGTCAGTAGAGCGGCAACTGTGGCAGAGCTTCGATTACCCTACGGATACCCTTCTCCCAGGGATGAAATTGGGGGCCAATTTACGAACCGGGCACGTTTGGTCTCTGAAGCCATGGTTCGCTTCCCAAATTGGGTTCAGTTGGAGGCTGGAACCACCGGTCGAGAGGTCGACCAGCTTCTTCACGTTCGGGTTGGAGATGAATAATAGTGATAATGGCGAATTGGTGATATTGTGGAAAGGACGGGTGTATTGGAGAAGTGGGAAGGAGCTGAACCAGAGTTTCCGTGGTTTAAACGTCAGGTACGTGTGGAATGAGGAAGAGAGGTATATGGTTTACAGCGTGCAAGAAGGAGGTGGTGATCATGTTGCTAATTATCCTAGGATAACCATTACTAACCATGGCAGCCTTACTGGCACCATAGGAGTGCGATGCGACATGGAATTTCAGAAAGGCGTTGGATGTTTTGATGGCGATGATAATACGCCCATTTGCAGCGATGGCTATGCGTATCCCAGCAGTTTTGTGATAGAAGCGTACGAAGAATTGGCGGGCAGGGATGTGGAAGTGGGTGGTGATAGTCAATGTCGTCCCAATTGCTCCAAAAACTGCACTTGCTGGGGCTATGTGAGGCAGAATCGAGACGGGTCTGGGTGCCAGATGGTGCCCAAACTGGCCTACTCATTACCCGAGTCCACAGGTCAGCATTTTGCCACAATTGGGACGGCATTGACTATCACTTGTAATAGATATTGCAGAGCCTATAACTTGTTTGGCTGTTGCAGATCAGAGGCGGCTGATATGGTTGATCATCGCAGGAGTTGTTCTTCCGGCAGTCTTGTTTATGTTGTTCTTGCTTTACCTTGGCTGGAAATGGAGAAATCATTTAGTAGCAATTGTTACCCGCGTAATGGAAAGTGTCTGTGAATTTTGGAAGGTTTGTGGATCGTTGTTGGCAATGTGGAAGGAATATTACGTCCTGCTTCGGCTATCTAAGGCCACATCGGATGCAGAGAAAGAGATACTGTTACATGAGCTAGGGATGGCTGGTGAGGCAAACGTTAACCCTAATAGCCTGGGTAACCACAATGATGATTTTCAATTGTTCAGTTTTGAGCACATTGCATATGCTACTGCCTACTAGCAACTTCCACCCTTCTAGTAAGCTTGGACAAGGTGGCTTTGGACCTGTCTATAAGGTAAAGAAATTAATGATTTTCCTTCATTTGATTTCAGGTGGATGACTTTCTTTGTGTGCGTACTTAGCACGAATGAATACCAACTGTTGCGAATTTTCGATTAATGTTTCAAAACGTCTTTGATAAAATGGCAATAGTATAGAGGCCAGAAGCGGAAGTAATGCTTTAACTTGCTACCTCTTCACTCTTCAGCATTAAGTTAATCCTGGTTAAAATTTCCATCATCTTTAACTTGGAATAACAGCTAAAATGAGACACCATTACTACTCTTGTACTACATTTCAATTCATAGTGCAGCACCCCTAAAAATTTTCAGGGGAAGCTGCCAAATGGTCTAGAGGTTGCTATAAAAAGACTTTCAACAAGCTCAAGGCAAGGACTAGCCTCAAGAATGAGGTAAGACTTATTGCCAAACTGCAGCACGACAATCTGGTCAGGCTGGTTGGTTGCTGTATAGAGAAAGCAGAGAAGATCCTGGTCTATGAATATTTGCCCAACAAAAGCCTTGATTTCTCACTTTTTGGTGAGTGCCTTGACTCTTTCGTTAACCTATTATGTAATCATTGGTTTCAGAACTTTTACTTGCTCCCGTGCAGCTCCCACAGACCAGAATGCACTGGATTGGAAGAAAAGGTTAGACATTATTCAAGGGATAGCTCAAGGACTTCTTTACCTGCACAAATATTCAAGGCTGAAGATCGTCCACAGAGATCTGAAGGCTAGCAATATCTTACTCGACGGTGAGATGAACCCCAAGATATCGGACTTTGGGTTGGCCAAGATATTCCATCCCAACGAATCTCGAGCAATCACTGCACGGGTTGCTGGAACTTTGTATGTGGGTTTATAAAGTTGATGTGATGCTTAGTCAATTGAATTCCTTGCATCTTAATTATGCTTATTCTGTAGAGCAAGACGATCGAAGTTTGAGAACTCTGAACTTTTGCAGTGGGTACATGTCTCCTGAGTATGCAATGGAAGGAGTTTTCTCGACGAAGTCAGACGTGTTCAGTTTTGGAGTTCTGTTGCTGGAAATTGTGAGCGGCAAGAGGAACAATCACTTTCATGCTGATCAGGAAGGCCCAAGCAGTCTCATTGCGTGGGTGAGATTAGCAATGAATGAGTCAATCAAGTGCTAGAATCTTGGAGCATAATAAGCCAATCAGGCCAATATATTGATAATTTGAAATTCTCTTGCACTTGATGCAGGCTTGGGAACTATGGAGAGAAGGAAGAGGAATAGAACTGGTGGATTCAGCCATGGCCATGGGCACTGACCACAGCAGCAACAACATGGTCCATAATGAAGCACTGAAGTGTATTCAGATAGGTCTTTTGTGTATACAGGAGAACCCAAGGGATAGACCCTCCATGTTAGAGGTCGCCTCCATGATCTACAACAATGATTCATCCCAGTTGCCGTCTCCAAATCGGCCAGCATTTTATTACAAATTTCAGGAGGCTGCTGAGATTATTGAAGAGCAGGAGGAGAATTGGACAGTGAACCAGGTTACCATCACCGAAATGAACGCCAGGTAATCAAGCATCTCGTGGAGTCTCTTTCTAGTGAAAATTAAACAATCTTTTTAAGATCAAAATGACGGTCGCCAAAAAGGAACAAAATGGTTGCCAGCTTGTACCGAGGGTTTGATTGCTTTTTTTGCAACTACTAGTTGGTTGCGAATGCTCTTTTCTGGAAGTGCAATGTGGATGTATATTGATTACTCTCTTACACCTCAGTAAGGACATTTATGTACGAAAATCAAGTCCTTTAATATAGATCACTGATCAAACAGTTACGAACTAATCACTTAATCTTCTTGGCAACTTCCAACAAGATATTCGTCCCCTCAACCATGGCATCGTCCTTAACCCATGGCTTGGGGGGCGATCCGGCGTCATTCAGGGCCTCCTCGCATGCGCTGAAGTTCGAAACAGCAGCGCTGAGCATGAAATTCACCTTGCTAACGTGCTTGGGGCTGCACTTCTTGTCCTTGTTGGTATCCTTGTCCTTGTCGCAGGCCTTGCACGCCTCCTTGGCAGTGTCCAAGCTGGCGATGGCCTTGTCGTAGTTCTGGATGCACGTGTCCAGGCTCGACTTCATTTGGTCCAGAGTGGAAGGGTTCTTGAGCTCGTCTTTGGAGGCAATGAAGGTGCCTTCCTCCACAAGGCTCTTGAGAACACGTAGGATGGTTATTTGTGGTGAATGACTATGGAAAAGTGGGGGTCTTGGTGTTGCAATTGATTTGGTTAGGACTGACAAATCAAAGATATGTTTCTTTTCTTCATTTCTTAACGACTAAACCTTATTCAGCGCATGAGAAATATTCGCCTAGACGACTAGTTGAGATTCTCAAAACAAAGCCAGAAGGAGAAGCACCACCAAAGCTCGGATCACCACGATCATCAGAGACATCGACTGCAACGGAAATGATCAGGGCCACCAATACGAGTGTGCGATACCTAATAAAGGTTGAAGAGCCAACAGTTCCCGGCTAAGGTTCTTGTTCCTGGCATGGAAGACTGAGCATTACAGCAGCTGCTAAACAGGCGAGCTAGCGAACCTCAAGGAGAGATGGCAGCTGATGCTATTGCTAATGGATACCGAATTCAGAAACCCGATTATCCCCACAATTACATTCAAACGAAAACCATAAGGGTGTAATCAGCTTGAGCATGGCCTCTTTAGTCTTTAGATGCCAAAGACATCCAACACCGAAAGCCAGATGTGGCTGTCGAACGAATTCAATAATAACGAAATGTAGCCTGTTACGGCTGTTGCACCATAAATGGCTAGCCAAGGTAGCAGCATGAGTTCCAATGTCTTGTGCACCAAGAAGGTAAACCAAATGAGCACACAAGGTTCAACATTTCGACTTCGACACGGAAGGAAAATATGGCAAAGAAATTAATGCTGATAATAAACAACCATGTATAATGCAATGCTTAGAGCGATGGAGCATCAACTTGCAAAATACACAACAAAAAAGGCATCGTCCGAAGTCATCAAAACCAAAATGGGCATCAATCATGACCAACTCTATCGGCAACCTAACATGAATAGAGAGTTGCTCCAAAATTCTCAAACTTGGTTTATTACATCCAAGAAACCGAACTAAAAGTAATATATTTTGGAAAAACAAGGAAACAACATAAGAGGTAAGGTAAAAAAACAGCTCAGAAGATAGTTTTACTCACTCAGTTTCCATCATTTCCTATCTATACACCCTGCCTGAAGTCATTCTTACTCTGAAACTCCGCCTCTCACAGTTCAGGCTGGGCTGAAAACTCGCCGGGAAACCCGGTGCTAGTTCGCCATCTCGATTACCGTATTTGAGAGGATGAACATATCAAGCCAGAAGCATCTGCCCCAACAACAGCAAGACCGCAAACCGCACATATCTGCCCCTCTTGGGCAGGAACAAAACGGGCAGAACAGTATGGGCAAGAAACATCCTTTTGTCCTCTGTATATGGGAACATACGTAGCACCGCAGACCACAAACGGATTCCTGAAATCATAGCTCAGCTGAGTAGCATCTGTCATGTTCCTCTCAGAAGCTGCCAGCACTTGCCTCGCAGTCTTTGCATGATTCTCAACTGGTGGGTTAGTCTCCAAGAGCCGCCTGGCAAAGTTAGCAGCTGTAGCAAAGTTCTTAGCTTTGTAGCAAACCGTCATTGCATTCAGCAAGGCAAGTCTCAAGTGAGGGGTTTGAAGATTGCAATGTGTGAAGTAGGCAGCAAGCTCCTGTTGACGAACTGGGTCATCCTTCATTTCCCTCCTCTTGAGTTCCATCTGTAGCCCCTGAACATATTCCTTCACAATAATAATCAGCTCTTTGACTTCATCAACCTCCCTCCTACTCTCCACAACAATGAGAGGAATTGTGTGAAGAATGGTGAGGAAGAGCTTCAGAGCCTCAGTAAATTTCCCAGCTGTGGTGGCTTTATAACCAGCCTTCAACTTCTCTTCCAACTCAGCAAAATTAAATATCAGCGCTGGAGCGCCTCTCACATTGGGGCTTGCAGACTCATTCCATCGTTCAACCGCCAGTGCTACCACTGCAGTTGCTGACATAGCACGTAAGTAAGACTGACTTCCAGTGTAAAGATCAAGGAACATAGATTTCAACGGAGCAAAATTTTTTATTCCAATTTGCCTATGGAGCAATCTCATAGCCGTATCGAAATTGCCTGCTGCCACATGCTCAGCAGCAAGTGACGACTTTTGAGTCCATATGTGACTGACAGGCATTCCGGGAGTTGGAGCCACAAAAACAGAAGATCGAGCAGTGACAGAGGCTTTTGGTGTATCAGCCTCTTGAGGCAGATCCAAATCTTCAAGATCCCAACCACCTTCCTCCTCATTATCTTCAGCTGCCTCGCCATCCTCCAATGCAGCTGTGACATCAGCATCTTGTATACCATCAGCATCAACCATTTCCAGCTCCTCACCCCAATCACCCTCAGCAGCTTCTTCTTCATCATCATCCATTCTGGCTGTATTTTCCAGACCCCCTTCAAATATACCTTTCATAACTCTTAGTAGAGGCCAATCACCAGAACAGGTGATGGGGGTTGGAGGCGTGAGAAGAGAAGGAACTTTACCCTCAGGCAAAGATGGAACGTTATCTCCTAATTCAGCTGCTAGGCGCTCAGCTACCTCCTCCAGGCCATGCACTTTAGCTGTGATGTACGCTAGGGGTGTTTGGCCAGCAGTCTCCAGGATCTTCACACGCTCCTGAATGTCACCCAAGTAGAGAGCATTGTGAAACTGACCCATGACATCGTTCTTGACCTCAGCAATTTTCAGCATTTTTGACAGTTTCTCTAGATTCCCCGTTATCAGATACAAGAAAGACAACCTCTCGAAATTCTTAGTTCTCTGATAGGCATATTCAACAATACCAGCATTTCCCTGGCGAAGGGCCTCAACTCCAAGCCTGTACCAATGGTCTTTCTCATCAATTTCCTTAGCTGAAGCAACAGCAATCTGTATGTTCCCACTCTCCAGAGCCAAATTGAATCGGGTCCTTTCATCCTTGACGAAATGCAAAGCAACTTCAGGGAATCCCTTCTGCTGCAGATAAGCAATCATGGCCTGACCACACAGCTGTGAGTTCCTAATCATGCTCATAACATGATCATATCTCTTCTTGAACAGAGAAAGTTTGAACATGTACTCAGTGGCATCAATGGCAATAGCCCTGTTCTTGCCATCTCTATCCAGACAAAAGATGGTATTTCCAGAGACCTTAGTAATGTATAGTGGGACTTCAAGGGTTTTGATTATACCACTGTCTCCATTCGGAAGGCAATATTTGAAGTGGTTTAGAGTAGAGTATATGAAAACACCGTTGTCATCCCAGGCTCCACTCTTTACACGAATTGTTTCATGAAGGGTGCATTGATGCACAAGCTTTTTGTTTGCGATGACTATTGCATGCTTGCTCAATAAGGCAACAGTTTCCATGTCATTAGACCAAACAACATACTTCACAAAAGGTGTAGGAAGCTCTCCAATCACAAGTCTCTGCTGAAGATCAAATATGACCACTCTATCCTCAGCTCTGCAAAGCACGTTACCAGTCCCAGCATAAAAAATTGCATCTGTAGCAATGGGAAGACCGCTCTTTTTAACCACCTCATTCTTTAGGTTCTTGACTAACACTTGATTGGTGCTTTTATCGAGCACGGCAAATCTATTACGGGCAATGAAGACAGCTGAACCCCCTGCCCCTCTCTTTGCTTCCTGTACAGTATCGCCCCTTGAAAAGCTATCCTTTGGAGTGATATACAACTCATAGGACCCCCCATCTACATCTGAACACAACAGAACTGCATTTTCTGTAGGACTGTAAGAAAGAGTTCTTGGACTCTGATTCAAGCTTGTGGTACCAGGTCGCCTGATGGGAATGACCTGGTTTTCCTTCTGACTGGAATACTCGAAAAACCGCAGAAACCGATCCTTTGCATAAAACAGAGAGTCACCGCTCACAGCAAAAGCAGGCCTTTCTCTTTCCAACTTGAACACAATCATGCCACTGTCATGACCAGCAGCAAGAAGATTCATCTCCGGGTGAGCTGCAAGGATCCAGAACCGGTCATGCTCACGGCGGAAAGTTTGAAGCCCAGTTCTCTTCGTTACATCCCAAACTCGAATACTTTTGTCCTCTGAATTAGAGACGATGATATCTTGCTTGGCATGGAACATAACACTTGAAACATTGTTCATGTGTCCCCTCAGAGTGTCGACTTCCCATGCCTTTGTATCTGAAAGAGGAAAAATATGTCACTTCCAGAGCAGTTTGAGTCATTAATAAGCAAAAGCAGTTAACCTATATAAGAAACTTGCATCACAAATCATTCTCAAATTTTGTGGAAAGTGTATCCAAATGAATAATAAAAAAGCGACAAAAAAAGGCATGTAAAATAACCTCCAAAAAGATATCTAATATCATGGCCCTATTGAATAACTGTTTATGTACAAACTATAAGCAGCCATCAACAACACAGCTTACCATTCATACGCCACAACTTCACTTGACGATCATCTGCTCCAGAGACAATCAAGGGCAGTGTCGGATGGAACGAAGCCCAGTTTACTCCACGGTCATGACCTTCCAGGACATACTTAACAACTGCATCAATACCACCGAAAAGATCTCCATTCAACTGACCTAAACGCATGATATCATCAGCAGGAGACACAGTCTTCTTTCTCAATGCAGCAGTGTCCCAAACACGGACAGTCTGGTCCAGAGAAGCTGACACAACAAGATCTTCTTTAGGATGGAATGAGGCACACATAACATAATGATTATGGCCTGTCAGCACAGAGATGCAAGTACGAGACTGCCAGTTCCATATGCGGATAGTCTGATCATCGCTTGCACTCACAATCCATGGATTTTCATGATGAAACTGCACCGTACGGATGTAATCCAGGTGACCCAGAAGAGTAAAGAGACACCTATGCAGCTTGTAATTCCAAACCTTAATCTTGTAATCATCACCTGAAGTGGAATCATTTGAAAAGCCAGCAATCAATCAATAAGAAAGCATAGATACAGTGCGACTAGAGTAAACTTAACCACCAACTATC